CATAATACCTTATGTTGCAGATTGACTTAGTAACACACGCTTATTCTCAAAGAACAGAATTTAAATTGCTGTTGAAGATTGACGAGTCATATTTAACCAGGTTGGTAAAAGCACAAAATTGAAAAAAGGCATATTGTATTGGTGGTTCACGTTTTCTCTTTTTTTTTTTTTTTGAAAGAATTAGTAGAACATTTTCTTTCTTCCTTTCAGTCAGAATTTTTGTCTTATGCCTTTTCTCACAAGGTGAGACCTTTATTTTCGTTAAATTAAGCAATAAAATTTTATATTTTTTTCTTGTTTCACAATATTTCTCCTTTGCTACGTATATGTTATTTATTTAGTAGTTAAGATAAAAGGTTCTTTTTATTTTGGTAACTTCAACATTTTCTGGTGTCCACGACAGCACTCTTTTTCAACATGTTTAGTACAATTAAAGTTTTGATTAAAGAGTATCTGAAACATGTGGCTGAAGAAATTGGCGAAATAGTTACTCCAAATATGAAAATAACGGAATTGAAACAGATAATTTTAAACAGTAAAGATTATGAAAGTGATCCACAGTTCGCACAAAATATTTGGATTACTGTCATAAGCGAAAGAAAATCACGAAAGAAAGAGCAGGAAAAATTAGCAGAAAAAGGAAAAAGATTAGAAATAGAGAAAATGAGAATGGATCATGAACTGGAAATGGCAAGAGTTCAAGCTGTTGATCGACTGAGCCAGGCACATCCGCCAATTGAAGAAAATGATGCCAATTCAAGAAGAAAATTTTTATTGCCAAGATTAGAATTTCGGCAATTTAGCGACGATATTAAAAAGTGGCTTTCGTTTTGGAGTCAGTTTGAGCAAATACATAAAGATAAAAACATTGCTTTGGAAAATAAATTTCAGTACTTAGTACAGTTGACGATCTCTGGTTCCAGAGCAAGAGAAGTAGTGGAAAATTTCCCGCCAACCAGTGTAAATTGCACCAAAGTGATTGAAAGCTTAAAAACGCGATTTGGCAGAGACGAATTTTTGGTTGAAGTGTACGTAAGGGAAATGTTAAAGTTAATTATTGCAGTACAAACCAAAGAAAACTTTTCCTTAACCTCGTTGTATGATAAATTAGAATCTTATTTACGAGCATCAGAGACTTTGGCTGTAGCAACAGACAAGTGTGCCTCAATTCTGCATCCATTAGTGGAATCTTGTGTCCCTGAAGAATTTTTAAAGGCCTAGAATATGAGCACAATTTCCTCTTCGAAACAAGACGCCAAAGAACGCTTAAATAATTCAATGGAATTTCTAAAATCTGAAGTAGAAGGTGAGGAAAGAATAAATTTAGCGATGGTAGGTTTCGGATTATCAAAAAATGATGGTATACAATTCAATCGTGGAAAAACAAATTCCAACTTTATAGCAGATAAAAGACCAATAGCTTCGGTCCTGTTTTCTAATTCTACTCATAGTATGAAGAAATCTTGCGTATTTTGCCAAGGAAAGCATTCAAGTGCCGATTGCTTTAGTGTTAAAAAAATGGGTTTCACGGAGAAACAAGCTATTTTAAAAGACAGAAATTGCTGTTTTTCTTGTTTAATGCCGGGACATTCAGCGAAGAAAAGTAGAGTGTTTCTAAAGTGTCTTTTGTGTGGAAGGAAACACGTGCCATTAATGTGTCCTAAGCTTGCAGAAAATGAAACCCCTGCTTTTAAAAAAGAAGAGGACAAGAAGCCAGAAAACGAAGTAAACATGGCAAATATCTCTAAAGCGCCAACCGTCTTTCTTCAAACTCCTAAGGCGAATCTTGTTTGCAATAATAAGAAGACATGTGTGAGAGTACTGTTAGATAGTGACTCCCAAAATTCGTATGTGTTGAAAAATATCGCCAAAGAAATGGAATATATGCCTCTTCGCCAACAAAATATAAAGCATGCTTTGTTTGGCGACGTTACTACTCACGAATGTGCGCACAATTGCTACAAAGTTAGATTAGTTAGATGGAACATTCAAATACAATTTTGAAGCTTTTGATGAAGACAAGATTTGTGGAAGTATTTTTTTTCTGTTAGGGGAGGTCCCTGGATAGAATAGCTAAGAACAAAAAATACTGTTTTAACCGATGGCAGTGATACATCGGAAGCTATTCAGATCTTAGTTGGAGTCAATATTATTGGCAAACTTTTGACTGAGCGACGCAAAGTACTGACTTTTGTTTTTAACTTCAAAAATGAGAGAAGTTGTTAAGTGTAGAACTAGTATAGAAGTAGTAAAATGTTATTAAGGACAAATGCAAAGATATAACATGTTTTGCATTGTATTATTTAATGACATGGAAGTATTTATTGAGAGTCATATGAAATTATCGAAAAACTCTCCTGCCATGGAACCCTTGTTATGAATCAAGTGAAAAAAGTATACATATAAATGCTTGTAAATAAAATAATAATTAGGTAGGAAGTAAAATTGTTAACAAAATCAAAACGAGTAACAACTTAATAAAACTGGATTGAAAACATCAAAATCAGTTTAATTACATGGTGAGGCTTGAGTACTTTTCTCATCTTTAAATATATATTCAAAAGCTTTTTGGTTTGTACTCTTTAGTGATCATTTGTTTTAAAGTATTTTTTTTGCCTTAAATAGTAATTTATCCCTAATGCTTCTATTTCTTAATTTAATTCTCGATAATTAATGCCTAAAGTTTCTTTTTAACATCATTCTAGACAAGGTGGATTTTTTTTAAATGTAAATGTTACAAATAAAAGCAAAGTTTGAAAATGGTATTGCTGATATGTCGGGACACGTAAAATGTCAGATAAGACTTGTGTTTTTTTCTTACATGGCCAACTGCTCATGCTATTTTATAGCCAGAAATATTAGAAAATTATAATTAATCACCAACTTAAGTATTTTCGTAAATATCTGAGATGCCGTTTAGGGCGGAATAGTAGAGTGAAAAAAATTCATAAGCCCTAAATATTACTGAAATCCGTTACTAAATAAGATTTATTGAACAATAGTTGCTAGTTTTTTTTTATTCCTCTGGTCACGTTTATTGCCACATTTGAGTTGCAATTTTTAAACTTAAATCCGACAGCCGTAATTGAAAATTGATTATTTCACACGAAAGGATTTAGACACATTAAATGGCATGCAGTTACCGATAACGTTTAATACTATTAACAATAAGACTTTTTTGTTAACAATAATGTTCTACTTCATTCCTGTAATTATTTTCGCAATTAAAATAATCAGCAAAAACAATTCATCAACGCTGCAGGCAAACATTGGGTGATTCTTCGTCCCCAGATAAAAGGCGATGTTTTCAAAAAAGTTGCTTTGAGAGAAGAAAATATTTTTAATTAAAATGCAACTTTAAAAAAATAGTTTTGTATTTTCAGAAGCAAAACAATGAAGCAAGATTTAAGATAAAGCAATGATTGTTCTTATACTTTCAAAGAGAGTCACAAATTCTTCCTCTGTAGTTTCTGGATTGAAATTGAGTTCATATTCTTCCATCATCATTAAAGCTGTTTCTTTGTTATTCAAACAAAAGGCGTTCCAGAATCCAATTCCATTCGGAAAATGCAAACCTAATTCTGTCTCCATTTTTCCACATATTCTCAACATTCTATCAATTACACAGACTGTAGTTGTGATATCAATACTAAAATGCATTAAAAAGCAGTTTGAATTTAAACTGGTTAATAAAAACAGGTTTAACTATCTCAAATTAAAATAAATATTGCTTGGTGGTAAGTATTCCTTGTAAAAGCAATATAAAATTAGTTTGTGAAAGCCCAATTACACCGGAACAGTTTTATGTAATTTCTCTTGCACCATAAATACCGCACTGAAGAGGCTTGATTTTACATTTATACTTGGTTCTCGCATTACCTGAAGCAGCTTTATTGCTTTTAAATAAAAACAAGCTTGAATTTCCTGATTTTATTACTTATACCTTATATTCTCCAATATTTAAGTACAAAATAATAGTTGACTAGAACCATGTGAAATATAGGGATGAGGTTGCATTGCAATTACAAAAGAAAACATTTCAGGTTATGTATAAATAACGATTTCTTAAGTCTTGATAAAACATTTTTTCTCATAGCTCGAGTAAAAACACGTGCAAAATTGAATTTTCAATTAATTACGCCATTTTTTATGGTCAAAAACTCCTTATTTATTTCCAGCTAATCATGTTTTATACGTTAACAAAATGTATTATAATAATCAAAAATTTCTGACGAAGTAGCTTGCTAGAATACATGCTAGCGTCTATCATATATTTTGATACTGTGCATTAAAATATTATGTTAATAAATTTACTTCATACTGTAGTGTTAATTACAATAAATGGTTACGAAAATTAAGATCGCAATTTTTTTATATGTTGTCTGTTATGGTTCACAAAATACAGTACCTTTATTTTATTTTAAATGTTGCTCCAACTGCAAATTAAAAGAAATATTCATAGTTTGAAATGCCTGTTTGAAAAAGTAAACTTGGTTCAGAATGGATGTTTAAGAAAACTGTCATAGCTTAGATTATACTTTTAAAAATGCACGATCATTTAAATCCGCTTTTATGCCTGTACTTAATATGTGAACCAAATTGACTAGCAATTTTTAAATTAAACAGAATTAAAGCAACTTAGCAAACAACAAACAACTTTTTTGCGAAAACTTAAAAATTAATATTTAAATCAATAATAATTTTAATATATGAAATAAATACAAGAACATAGCTATTTTCTTTATAGTATATGAGATAACATAGTGATCGGGAACATTTTCAGTTTGTTAAAAAGAGTGGCTTCAGCTAAAATTATAGAGTTATCAGATAAGCGATAAGATATGTTTCTAACTAATGTGCAATTTCCTGGTGGAAATTTTTTGAAGCTTCAAGACTATAGCAGTAAAAAACTATTCAATGTTAAAGTGTAAACATTAGAAAGAATGTGGCTCTCTACTTAACTCTCTCAAGCCCTCATTCAGAAATCATGAAATACTTACTAGCACTGAAAGAGTCCCGGTTCATCTGGCACATCTAATAAAATTAGATTACTCTTATTAACTATATCAGGTGAGCATGTCTCTATGGTCTCCTCAATAACAGCAAAATTGTCGTAGCAACTGCCGTATTTCACAGCTCCTTAAAATCAAAAGTATGTTTTATATATATATATATATAT